CCAACCTGTGGAGAAAAAGCAAAGAACGTGAGATGGCAACATCAATACGTAATTAACATGTACCTACTCTTACTGTATGACCCTACGGGTTTACAGTATTAATAATAATATATAATAGTGATCATAATCATATCCACTCTTAATTCATCTTTTAAATACGAAAACAGAGGTCGCTTATAAAAATTTAATAACGAAAATTAAATTTCAACAATGATCACGAGATATCATCATAACATGGTTTAGGGAAATTCGAATGAGTTGAATAGAATTTTATTTGCAAGATAAGATTCGTTATGGTTAACCTAGGTAAGATTATTTATCCCAGGCAGGATTTTTTTTATCCCAGGCGGGATTATCCCAGCCAGGATTATTTATCCCAGGCAGGATTAGTTATCCCAGGCAGGATTTCTTTTCCCCAGTTATGCAGATTCATCTCTAAATGTGTGCCGGGGGTGACGGTGGGAGGAGGGGAGGGGAGCCGAGCATTCCTTGTTTTTAATTATAACGGCAAATTAAATTTCTGAAAATAGAAGTTAATAGTGCCTTTCGCGGCGAGTTTCATTTAGAAATATACATATCTTCATTTTTGTTGCCGGGTACTGAATAAATGCGACTGTCGCAGGGGTACTAGGCTCAAATATATTTTTAATTCGTTCGGTATAGTACTAATACTGCCTTATGGCTCTTTCAGGCTTAGCACTTAATGATGATGACAAAACACATGCGTGCTAGTGCCTTTCTTTGTGTTACAATATTTTATTACATGTAAACTACACTTGGTATACTACACAAAGCAGTTAATAGCGCTAAACTCATGAAGGCCATACAATGCCTGGAGAATGGAAGGGCAATTCCAATTCCTTGAATCAAGAGCAATTCACCAGCATCAATGCAACACCGTCCATTGAAGGGGAAAAAAAGAACTGCGAGGACGATGCAAAACTGTAATGTATTACCAATCTTCCAAAGCGAGCAAGGAAGGAGGGTAGGGATGGCTGCGACTGCACTCAATCATTAGTGATATACCATACCGACAAGTTGATGAACTGGGTATCTGGGTATTTTTATTTTGCAGATTTTTCACCAACCGGTAGAGTTATCAATACAATACAGGGGCATAAACAGAAGACGGCAGAAGATGAGGTAATCATTCCTTCAGACTAGGAGTAGGTTTTCATTGCCGTAATCTTGATGAATATGAAGCACAGGCAAGAAGATGGACGCTTTTATTATGGACCTACTTCCACCAGTGGAAGTAGGTCATGCCTAGGAGTTGGGAGAGGTCAGCAAGTAGACTGTAATGACCACTGAGAAGCCGAGGGACTGATTACCTCATCTGTCTTCCGTATATAATTCTGTAAGAGTGAGTACCTCCTGCCAATGGTTGGCGAAATGTCTACAATATAAAGATATCTACCCTGATGTTGCACACGTGACTAGCCCATCTCGTGTTTAGCAAACTGAGGATCAAGCCTCTACCATTCCATGAACTGAATGACTCTCATGGGTTTATCAATAATAATAATAATAATAATAATAATAATAATAAATAATAATAATAATAATAATCAAAAAAAGGAAGTAGAGAAGAGACACTAAACTAGAGGTGCATATGCGACCTGGACACCTGCAAGGTAATGGAGAAGGTAATTAGATATAAGCTAGCTAACTACCTGGAAAACAGACATTTTCATGGAAAAAAAACAGCATGGGTCGAGAAAAGGAAAATCCTGCCTTACTTATCTGATTAATTTCTATGATGAATGACAAAGATCAGACATTTTAAGAGGATGAGAGGCGAGCTGCATATTCCTCGACTCTCAAAGGGCCTTTAACACGAATCTTTCACACACTAGAACTAGAAAGCCAGTCTGAGGTAAGAGAGAGTGCGTACTTTACCCCCTGAGAGTATACTCTTCCTATCGTCTTTAAATTTCTTTATTATTACATTCATGGGTTGAGCGCTAAACCTGTACGAGTTATACAGCTAAAAAGGTCGGACAGATCCAATGTCATATATCAAGAACCCTTTACAGGCATCAAGGCGCACTTCCTTTGACAGGTATCCTCTGATAGGAGAGAACTCCTATCAGCAATATCAACGACGTGCACAAAACTGGAAGTATGTCAAGGAGACTGCAGGAGACGCTCAGTTGGTTGTACACGACACATCAGTTGATATAAACGACACACGCACGACCAGCATGCGTCGGCAGTATTGAGAAAGTTGACAATGTCGGCCTAATGCTGCTGCCACACCTACGAGGACTGCGAAACGAAATCAGGAGACAAAGGCACAAAGTTAAAATGGACACTATTAAAGACGTTTCGCTTCGTCAACAAGGAAAATGTTGTCTTAATAAAGTTTCCATTCTGCCATTGTGTGTTTGGCAACTTGTCAGTATTTATATCTAACACATGCAAGGGTTGAGAATCTTGGAAACAGACAAAGCTGACAGGGACATCCTGCTTGAGATGGGAGCAAACACAACGAGGGAACAATATAAAAGCAAAATCAAACGAGTCAAAGGAACATAAAAAAAAATCCTTTAGACACACAAAGGGAATGCATAACGAAGGATGTTAAGAGACGCCAACTCAATACATAGATTCAAAAGCAAATTTGATATAGATTCCTCCTCCAAAAAAAAAAAAATTAAAGTGGAACACCACGAGTACTGTTGTCCCTGTAACTACCAAAAAAACAGCACTAATATTCTCTCTCTCTCTCTCTCTCTCTCTCTCTCTCTCTCTCTCTCTCTCTCTCTCTCAAGTGACACTTGATGGGTCACGGCACCGGAAATTAAAAAGTGCAGCCAAAGAAAAACTTTTGATGGGCTGGTTATGAGTGAGGATGGATGGACCAGTGTGTGACAGTATGTTACTAACACTGATGGACCAGTGTGTGACAGTATGTTACTAACAATGATGGACCAGTGTGTGACAGTATGTTACTAACAATGATGGACCAGTGTGTATCAATTACTGGAGAACACAAAATCAACAGCTGTAGAACAAGACCAACATCAGAAGTTGAACACATCAATAAGTGAACAGATATGTTAAATACAGGACAAGTACCAGCCCAGCACATTTTTTTTTTTTTTTGGTGACCCGCCAGACCCACTTGACCCGCTAGAGTTATACAGTTCCTAGGTTATGCAAGGCAATCACGTTTGATCCAAGGAAAATGAGGGTAGCTCAAGCTGACAGAAGCAAGAGTCCTTCAACGGCATCAAGTATCCTTATAAAGAAATAACACACGTTGTAATATTGGTGGTCCTGTTGTACTGTTGTTGAAAAATTTAAGAACTGGTCTTACACCTGAGGTAAACAACGTTCTCAAAGTGTCTGTTACTCACATTTTTGAAAGTCATCTTGATATCAGCAATATTAACATGCATCACTCATGTCAATAAGTGTGTGTGTACTTCAGGGGATCGTCCCGGGGTAATGGCCTATTTATACATCTTTTTTTCTTTGATTCTGTAGATTTTTTCCCAATAAGACTGCCTACGTTACTCTCATCTTTGGTCTTATAGTAGTTATTAATTGGCTCTTACAGGAATGCAGATTTTCCACATGGTATCTAGTCTATTATATTTTCTTACGTATATGAACTCAAAATTCCCATTGTGTTTGGCACATTTTTTTTTTCCATCGTCTGACATCATTAATACTTGACAATATCTTCAGCGTTCTAAAGTCTCCCAGCTCAGACTGACAGATTTAAACAATATGTATGTTACTCATCCTGTGTGATCTATTATGACAGGGAAGGAGTCAATTCTCCTTTCCTCTTTATAAATATCATATAAAATAGGGCAGCAGCACATTTCTGATTTACCCAAAGTTACTAAATAATATTAAAAAGTTTACCCGTCATTAGGTTTCGCTTTCCAAAGACTACTTATTATGTAGTTTAAAATTATGATCTCTCCTTGCAAGTACCAAAACGTTAAGTTTCAAAATACTTTTCTATGTTTGTATATTGTGTAATACCTCGTCTCCATAATCAGTAGCACCATCATCAGTAGCAGAAGCAACAATAAAAGTACTAGCAAAATCAGTAGCAGCAACAGTATTATCTATGGCTATTATTTCCTCATACAACAATAATCATAATAATATGACTGTAATAATAATACTCGTAATAATTACTAAGAATACTATCATATCAATCGGTTGTGAATATTTATTAACCATTATTTTTACTACTTTCTTTTACTACTTGATATCAGTGGAATTCATTATATACATTTTAAAGGCGACACCAAAACTTGAAATAACAGCGTCTACTGAATACGGTAGTATCCTCGTAGAGTAAGGTAGCAGGCTGGTAGACAGCAACCATCCAGGAAGGTAACTATCGTCCAGTCAAATGATCGTGACTGGCAAAACTGCTGATCTTTCTGCCTCGTGTTAAAATAACAGGTAAATCTTACGAGCTTCTGCCTACATGTAGTACGTACACACACACACACACACACACCACCACACACACACACACACACACACACACACACACACACACACACACAGCTGTGACTCGACCCCCGCAACCACAACTAGGTGAGTACACACACACACACACCTTTACTTTCCTATGTGCTTCTTAATAATTCTTACTCTTGTAATGTTTCCATTACAATTTAGGAGGCCTGGCTTGAAACCGAGCAGTGGAAGAGATAATCCTCAGAACCACTCAGAGATAAACCTTGTTGTTGATCCGGGTAATGCCAGAGAGGAAGGCCTCGGAAACTCTACGGAAATATCCAATCACATTTAAGTGAGTGAGGCAGTCTTAATGAAGATTACCTTGGGAACGAACTAGTATTCAGTTTATTCTGCTCCTGTGTAATGAATATCTGTGAATGCATGAATAGTATCCATCTCAAAAGAGCATACATTATTCCATACATTTGCATAGTTACACACACACACGAGGAGAGGTTAAGGGAAATCGACCTGACAACACTGGAGAACACGAGGGATAGGGG